TGGGGCTGGAAAAATACAGGGTGAGACTGGAACATCTTGTGGTACCAGAAAAGATGGAAGTGCTCAGAGAATGATGGGAACATGTCAAAAGGACACAGGATCCAGCTTGAAGGAGTGTCCACTGGCCAAACTGGGACAATTTAAGCATCAAAGTAAATGATAGTAAGAATGAGTTGTGGTCATAGAATATGAATCCATGAGTAGTCCACACTGATATATCTATGAATGAACAAACAAGCAAATGACTAAATAAATAAATAAATGGGGGAGAAGGGAAGTTCTACCTTATGGTAGAATGCTAATTATAAATAAAGAAAAAATGATGAAATAAGAAAGTCACCCTTTGACAATTACTAATAGCATGGGAATAACTGATTCAGATAAGAATCATCAAAGAATGCTAAAACTAGTTGATGTAAGTTTCATGGGAACAGGATATTTATATAGTTTCAAAGTAGCTCCCCACAAAATGCTTATTAATTTTCTGTGGAGAAACCTGGAAGACACCATTTTAACCACCTTAACATCAATGGACTATAACTTTAAAAATGGAAAAAAACAAGGACATAGCTGGGCGTTGTGGCTCAAGCCTGTAATCCCAGCACTTTGGGAGGCTGGGGCAGGTGGATCACCTGAGGTCAGGAGTTCACTTGACCAACATGGTAAAACCCTGTCTCTACTAAAAATGCAAAAATTAGCCAGGTGTTGTGGCGCATGCCTGTAATCCCAGCTACTCAGGAGTCTGAGGCACGAGAATCGCCTGAACCTGGGAGGTGGAGGTTGTAGTGAGCCGAGATCATGCCATTGCACTCCAGCCTGGGCAACAAGAGCGAAACTCTGTCTCAGAAAAAAAAATTAATAAATAAAAAACAAGGACATGGAAAAACCAGAACCCTCATACACTGCTAGTGAGGATATAAAATGGTTACAGTCACTTTGGAAAACAGTTGGCACCCCTCAAAAAGTTAAATATAGGTACCATATGACCCAGCAATTCCACTGTTAGGTATATACCAAATAGAACTGAAGGCATATGTTAACACAAGAACTTGCACATGAATGCTGCTAGCAGTGTATTTCATAATAGCTAAAAAGTGGAAACAGCCCAAATGTCATCAACTGATGAATGGATAAAAATGTGGTATATATCCATACAATGACACATGTCAGGTCTCTCCAGAGAAGCAGGACCAATAAGATGTGTAGGTTCTGTTTTCATATAGATATGTGTATGTATGTATATATATACATAGAAAGAGAGAGAGACATTTAAGGAATTGGCTCACAGGAGGCTTGGCAAATCCAGACACTGATAGGGTAGGCTGATGGTCTGGAGATTCAGGGAAGAACTGCAGTCTGAATCCAAAGGCAGTCTGTTGACAGAACTTCTTGCTTGGGGAACAACAGTCTTTGTTGTATTAAGGGCTTCAGCTGACTGGATGTGGCCCACTCACACTATCACACTATGGAGGGTAATCTGCTTTACTCAAAATCCACTGATTTTATTTTATTCATTTATTTTTTGAGACATGGTATTGCTCTGTTGCCCAGGCTGCAGCTCAGTGGTATGATCATGGCTCACAGAAGCCTCAACCTTCAGGGCCCAATCGATCCTCCTACTTCAGCCTCTTGAGTAGCTGGACTTCAGGAGTGTGCCACACCCCACCACCTGGCTAATTTTTTTTCTTTGGTAGAGACAAGGGCTCCCTGTGTTGCCCAGGCTGGTCTTGAACTCCTGGGCTCAAGCGACGCTCCTGCCTTAGCCTTCCAAAGTGCTGGGATTACACGCGTCAGCCACTGTGTCCAGCCAAAATTCACTGATTTTTGTTTTTTGTTTTTTTAAAGACAGAGCCTACCTCTGTTGCCCAGACTGGAGTGCAGTGGTGCAATCTTGGCTTACTGCAACCTCCGCCTCCTGGGTTCAAGTGATTCTCATGCCTCAGCCTCCCTAGTAGCTGGAATTACACGCTCCTGCCACTACACCTGGCTAATTTTTGTACTTTTAGTAGACATAGGGTTTCACAATGTTGGCCAGTGGTCTCTATCTCCTGACCTCAAGTAATCCGCTCGCCTTGGCCTCCCAAAGTGCTGGGATTACAGGCCTGAGCCACCTCACCCAGCCCCCAAATTCACTGATTTTAAATGTTCATCTCTTAAAAAAAAAAAAAAAAAAAAATACCTTGAAAGAAACATCCAGAAAATTGGCCAACTATCTGGGCACCATGGCCAGTCAAGCTGACACATAAAATTTACCATCACAAATGGTAATAGAGTAATAGAATATAACATTTACATATTACTCTCAAATGAGTCAGAAAAAATATAGCATATATAATCTGTGCACATATATACAGAAAGAGGGTGATAAAGCAAACATAATACAAAGTTGACAACTGGGCCAGGCACGGTGGCTCACACCTGTAATCCCAGCACTTTGGGAGTCTGAGGAGGGTGGATCATTTGAGATCAGGAGTTTGAGACCAACCTGGCCAACATGGTGAAACCCTGTCTCTATTAAAAATACAAAAATCAGTCAGGCGTGGTGGTGCACCCTTGTAATCCCAGCTACTCAGGAGACTGAGGCAGGAGAATCGCTTGAACCCGGGAAGCAGAGGTTGCAGTGAGCCAAGATCGCGCCACTTGACTCCAGCCTGGGTGACGGAGTGAGACTCTGTCTCAAAAAAAAAAAAAAGTCAGCAACTGGGAGATTTGGGTGAGGGTGTACTGAAATCCTTGATGCTATTCTTTTTTATTCTTTTTATTATTTTTAAATACTTCTCATGTCTGTTTCCTATCCTTTGTACTATTCTTGCAATTTTTCTGCAAGTTTAAGATTATTGGCAAAATAAAAGTTAAAACAGAAAAAGAACATAAAAGTATATGCACAAAGAGTATTGTTTAGAAAAGAAATCTACCTATTGTGAGGCCTGTGCCTGGTACCAAGTACATGCTGAATAGCTGATGCTGCTGCCAGCTTTTCAGGTCTGGAGAGAAAGGTATTTCTCATAAGAAGTCACAAGGCGGCATCCCAAAGCCAAGAAACACCGTCTAGCACAGTTCACTGAGTCTGTAGAGCTGTCAGTGTCCTACCCTTCCTTACCCAGAATGCACTCCTTAATCCTAAAGAAAAAAAAGAAAAAGCTTTGTCTGCTAAAAACAGGGGCTCCTTCCTTTCACAGTGGACAAGGCTATGGAGCACCTGAGAGCTGGCCTCCTTTCCTTCTGTTTGGGTCCGGATTTCAGAGCAGCTGTCAAGGGTCACTGTATATATCACAACTGGGACATCGACTCTAGAGACCTATGAAAAGGAGTGGATGAATGTGGTGGCAATGTAGAATAGTGAGCCCTGGAATGGGAACTCACAGACATTCACGTGTTGTGTGTACTCAGCCATATCCTTCCTTATCCTGTTTTCTTTTTTTAATTGTAAATTGACAATTTATACCTGTTTATAATTATGGGGCACAAAAAAAAAAAAAAAAAAAATACCTTGAAAGAAACATCCAGAAAATTGGCCAACTATCTGGGCACCATGGCCAGTCAAGCTGACACATAAAATTTACCATCACAAATGGTAATAGAGTAATAGAATATAACATTTACATATTACTCTCAAATGAGTCAGAAAAAATATAGCATATATAATCTGTGCACATATATACAGAAAGAGGGTGATAAAGCAAACATAATACAAAGTTGACAACTGGGCCAGGCACGGTGGCTCACACCTGTAATCCCAGCACTTTGGGAGTCTGAGGAGGGTGGATCATTTGAGATCAGGAGTTTGAGACCAACCTGGCCAACATGGTGAAACCCTGTCTCTATTAAAAATACAAAAATCAGTCAGGCGTGGTGGTGCACCCTTGTAATCCCAGCTACTCAGGAGACTGAGGCAGGAGAATCGCTTGAACCCGGGAAGCAGAGGTTGCAGTGAGCCAAGATTGCGCCACTTGACTCCAGCCTGGGTGACGGAGTGAGACTCTGTCTCAAAAAAAAAAAAAAGTCAGCA